TATATAAGAGTAGGATCAAATGAGAACACCTAAAAGGTTGAAAACGCGATAACAAATCTAAACCATTTAAATACTTAGATCTAAGGTTATTATTAAATGGACTATTTATGAAAAATTCTAAAACTAATGGTATTAAAGTGTAACTTTGAAATGATCAAAAGGGCATAATAGGAATTGCAACTTTATCTATTTCTTATAATTTCTCACCCTCTCACCGATTTCCTCTCATCTTTCTCCTATTCCCCCGTCTCTCTCATCACTCTCTCTCTAGAGTTTTATAACAAATCCGCCTCCATCATAAAACTCACGCCATCATCGATCAGGGCATCACCCAGTGTTACACCATCATAGACCCAAAAATCGAATCTATACAACTCTTCTTTCTCTTCGATCAACACCACGCACAAGAAAAAATCATAGGTAATGGTATTAATTATCAAACTCGAAATTTGACCTCTTCTCTTCTTTAATCGATCGTACCCTTCTTAAATTCTGTTCTTTCTTTCTTGAAATTGATCACAGGTTACGTTGATATAGAGTGTAATAATAAGCCACTAGTTAACTTTTGGTGCTTGACTGATCACTGAAAAGGAAAAATAAAGGCAGAGATTTTTGGCCCGGTGGTTTAGTGATGGCAAACCCGTTAAGAGAGGGAAATGGCTATCGATCCTCTGTCCTTCTTGAATCTATCGCCAATAGTAAACCGAAATAAGAATCTCTAGTATTCTTTTTGTTTCATCTTCTTCCTGATTTGATTAGAACAATAAAAAGAACAAAACAGATGAAACATCAATCCATTGGGGGTGTTTGGCTATTATTTTCACAGGAAATGGGAGAAGAAGAACATAATGATTCCTTTTTTTTATTGTTCTTTTTGAAATCAGTGGGATTTGATATGTGTTATTATGTTTGGAGTTTGATGTTTGGCAGAATTTGATAGGCTTAACTGGGTGTTTCATCTTTTGCTCATTGCTTGATTCTTCTACATTTACAGAAACACTGAGATGGATATTATTAGTCAAACTTCCAATACATCTTCTTTTCCAATGGATCATTCAAGAAAGAAGAAAACAAGAAGCAGACATGATGCACCAAAGAAAGTGGCTGCAACAATTGCCAAGTGGAGGAAGGCAGAAAGAAAACGACAACAAGGGGTGTTTGGGTTTCTTCGTGTGTCGTAAAAGAGTGGGAGAAAACAGAGGGGGTTGTTGCCCTTGGTTTGCCGGAAACCACCAACAAACACCTCTGGTTGGGGTGTTTTTGTTGCACCTCGAAGACATGCGAAAAAGAAGGGAGTGTGAGAGGAAATGGAAGAATGAAAAATTGTATTTATCTATGAATAGCAATGTATTCATTTGTGAATAGCAGTGCATTCATGTGTGAATAATAGTGAATGAATAGCAGTGCATTATGTGTGAATAATAGTGTATTAATTTGTGAATAACAGTGAATAAATGTATTTATTTATGATTAGAGATATTCATTTATTCAATTCTGACTAATAGGATACTTATTTCTTAATAGCATTGTATTCATTTGTGAATAACAGTGTAAGCATGTGTTAATGAATATTTATTTATGATTAGAGATATTCTTTTTATGAAGAAATGATAATTTTTACGCTCTTTTTATTTTCAATTGATTAAAAAAAAAATTTATTACTTGTAAATTGATGTGTATTTATTTGTTATTGGAGTAGTATCAGGTTTTTTAAAAAAAATCATTTATGAATACAAATGTACTAATTTGGTGTTCGATTTCAATTCATTTTTTTGAACACACACACACACACAAAAAAAACGTGAAATAGAAGAAAAAAAATGTTTTTGTAAGAATTTTTTTTTCAGTTTTAAAATAAATTTTGGTAAAAATGATTTTTATATTCCATTAATAAGAAAAATAAAAAATTGAATATTTATTTCTTTTTTGGTAACCGATCCTAAATTTAAAGGAATTTGATTGAATTTTAGTTTATTTTAATTTAATTAAAATATACAATTACTAGTATGCCCTTATATATTGATTGATCCAGAATTGTTCTTGCGTTCTCAACCTTTTAGGTGTTCTCATTTGATCCTCTCCCTATATATATATATATATATATATATATATATATATATATATATATATATATATATATATATATATATATATATATATATATATTTATATATGATTAGGTTCTATGAAAAATAAAAAGCTAGGGCATCATGTTTGGAACCAATGAATATTGGACACGTGGTACTTCATTATTTAATGGGTGAATTACACAAATGGTCCCTCTGGATTAAAGTAATTTATGTGTTTGGGTCCAAAATTATTATATTTTAAATTATGGATAAATTGTAACAGTCAAACCGTTTTGGATCATGGGTATTCTAAAATTTGCAAAATTCAGTCTTAGTTGGACATGATTAACCGTCATCTATTCAATTAACGAATTAATTTGTAAATTAAGAACACAAAAATATGGCATAATCTTCTTTCTTGTTTATGGAGCGTCTAATATTTTTTAAAATAATAGAAATATATGAATACTATATTCGATATTGTAACTGGCATTAATATAAACAATCTTAGAATTTATCCTTTAATATCCAAGTATTTTTAATTTATTTATATAAAATGATTATGAAACCAGATCCTCTTTGAATTTTTATTCTATTAACCATGTGCATTTTTTATGAATAAAACCGTTAATATTCAAATAACTGCCTAAAATTTTAATCTAAACATCCTATAATTTACAACGGTTTTTAGGACGAAAGATAATGTAACTTCCATATTAATGTTTGATATTATTAATTAAGCACTTTGAATTAAAACGGAAGTCATAAATTACAAATTCTTGAGATTTGTATTCATTCTTAAATATGCCAAACGAAATTCATGGGTTTAAAATGGAAGTGTGTGTTAACTTCAATTAATTCTTTAAATTAACATTTATGTAACATTCATGCGAACGGAAGTTGGAAGTTACAAATTCTTGATGTTGTAACTTCTTTGATTGTGAGTTTAAAACTACAATTACAATTGAAACAATCATATTTTTTAGAATAGAAGTTAGGGATCATCTACACAAATTATAACAAACCATACGGACCATTTGTGTAATTCATGTTTTCATTGGTTTAGTAGTTGTTGCCCTATTTTCCATATAACCCTTCCATATATATATATATATATATATATATATATATATATATATATATATATATATATATATATATATATATTTATATTACGTCAAGAGCTAAAGCTTATTAATAATTCAATATGCACAAATCATTGTTGAAGTGTAGACTATAACAATTTACTATTTTATGAAATCTATTTTTTAATGATATAAAATATAGGAGTTTTTAATTAATTATATATATATATATATATATATATATATATATATATATATATATATATATATAGAGAGAGAGAGAGAGAGAGAGAGGGAAGGTTATATGAAAAACAAAAAACCCTAAAATTCCTAAAAATGCATAAAAAATACCTAGACATCACAAAACTTTTTTTTTGACTTTACACATCAAAAAGTCACATCTTTTTTTAAAATTCCGTTGAAAAAAATAGAAAAACAATATTTTTTTTAATAAAAAAATTTCAGCGATTTTGTGTTAAAAGGTGCGATTTTTTCAAAAAAAATGTTTCGTGATCTTTAAGTTTTTTTATGCATTTTTATTATTTTTAAAGTTTTTTGTTTTCCATAGAATATATATATATATATATATATATATATATATATATATATATATATATATATATATATATATATATATATATATATATATATATATATATATATATATATCAGTTTTTAACACTAGGTTATTTTCTGATTTTTTTTTTTAGATTGTTATGTCTGTTGCAAAACCATTTTTATATGATAATTAGTTTTTCAAATAATCCATCGAACATAGTCTAAGAGATAATCATTTTTGTTCTCTAAATCAAAAGTTTTTTAGGGGTTTATTGAACACAATATATTATAAAATTTGGAAAAAATATTTGTTTTATTTAAATATGGTTAAGGCACAAAATTTTATTTTACCAAATTTATAAGTTTTTGTAAAATATAAAGTTTTTTTGTGGCTTTATTAAACGGGGATGAGATAAATGGGTTTAAATTTGAAATATATATTTGAGAATTCCTTGCATGAAATCCCATTGAAAATTTTTCTAAAAAAATGTTTTTTTTTCTGGCATAGAACCATAGTAGGGACTAAACCAGAAATTGAGGTCAAACACATTGTAGTAGGCATTCAACTAGATTTTAAAATCCCAGTTTTGTCTCAATAAACGTTTATATGTCCGATTTACATAGACTGTATAGGTGATATTTAATTTCTCGTCACGTAATTAAATGATTATCTGATTTTGTTTTGATATATCTTGAAATTAATTTTGTAGTTTACGTTTTAAACCATTAGTTTATAACGGATGGCTAGAACAATATCATATTTTGAAGAATAATAATCAGAGCGTGCACGTGAATGTTCAAACAAACCAAATAAATATATTTCAACTTGAAATCACAGTGATAATTTAAAATGCATATCCAAACACCTAAATACTATAATCCAAATAACACATTTTTAAAATATAATTAAAATTATAAGATATAACGATTCACATCAGCATAATATTAGTTTTTCAATTATGTCACATCAGGTTTTATTATTAGTTACACAAAAATACAACACTAACAGTCTACAATGTATAAACAACTACTTTATAGATTTTAATCAATATCCTAATTATCATATATAAGTTTCAATCATCAAATAATACATTAATTATTTATAATTTAAATAATAAATTATAAAAAAATAATTGTATATTAGTTTATTTAATCAATTATTTGTATTACGAAAAAAAATATCATATTTACGTATTTATATATTTATTAATTTGTACGTATATGTTAAAAAGTATGCCCAATTTCATATTATTGTCTTTCTATCTCAAAATTACATTATTATATTTATGTTGATTTGATTTATATATTTAATACCTTAACATACATTAATACTACACAAACTAAATATATTTATATACAAAAATATGTATTAATAAAATAAGAAAATAATTGTTTTCCATTACTGACATGGACCAATTAGCGTAGCAAGACAGCAAGCTGGCTTTGAAGTCTTGTTTGATTTTGTCTTTCAAACATTGTGTACAGAGGGCTTTGAAAACCTGGTGTGAATGGCTCCAATACCTTTTGACTCGCAATCACAAGTTCAACTATAAAAATTTCAAAATATATTTATATCAAATATCATAAACAAAATCTACCTTACAAAATAATTTTAGATTATCAAATCTTTATTATAATGGAAACATATAAAGACGAATGATTTAAACCATATAAAAAGTTTCGAATTATGATATATATATTTTACATCATAGTCCTTGTGAACCCTTAAAGGCTTAAACCCCATTATAAAAATTTAATGAACCGGGTTCCAAAAGAATCGGCTTTTAGTCACATCACATCTTACTACAACAAAAAAAAAAAACCAAATCAAATCAAAATCCATACCATCCTTCCATCCATCCATCCAATAACCATGCTTTCTTCAGCACTAATTACACCATCCACCTGTGTGTTGCGTTCACTGTCACTGTCACCTACACTGTTTAGGTCTGAAACTCTCATCCGACAACAACTTGCTCACAAGACTCTCGAGCCGTTTCGCACCGGGACCGGGTCTAACGACGGTAACATTCCCAACGACCGAGCACGGGTCGGACCCGTTCTGAGTGTCCCCGGCGCACCAGGCGCCAGGGACAATCATGTCAGGCCCACGAAAAAGCAAATCGGAATCGATTTTATCCAAGACGGGTTCATTGTGGTGGAATTTTCTAGCGAAGGGAGCGTTAGAGTTGACCATGTTGGACATGTCTTGTAAGGTGAGGTAGTGAGGGTGTTGTTTTGGTGGGGTGTCCCATGTGATGAAATGGAGGTCGGTGTTGACGGTTGTGTTACGGAATTCTTTAGCGTTGCATATGACGGTGTGGAAATAGCCTTCGGGTGAAGAGATGAAGTTTGCGTAGTACATGAGGACGGTTCGCGGGAGATTGTCCCATCCCCATATGCAGAAGTCGATGAATGACCGCGATAATACCATCCATGCCGATCCTAAAAATAATGATATAGAATTTTTTTTTTTTGTATAAAAAACTAAAAGAAATAAGATTTAATAAAAGCTATTTTCTAGGTATTTTTAGAAAGTAAACCTATAATTTGAGTAGAATTGTGAAATGGATTATTATTATAAGAATAAATTAATGAAATCGTCCCTATGGTTTTGTCAAAATTGCACGTTTGGTCCCTAACTTTTTTTTTGCACTCAGATCGTCCCTATAGTTAGATTTTGTTGCGTTTTTCATCCCTGTGGTTTGATTTTGTTGCGTTTTTCGTCCCTTACATACGTAAAATTAGGGACCAAACGTGCAATTTTGACCAAACCATAAGAACGAAAAACGCAACAAAATCAAACCACAGGGATGAAAAACGCAACAAAATCTAACTATAGGAACGATCCGAGTGCAAAAAAAAAAAGTTAGGGACTAAACATGTAATTTTTACCAAACCATAGGGATGATTTCAGTAATTTACTCTTATTATAATTTTTCATTCCATTCCATGATGGAAAAAAAAATGAAAATTAACAAAATGGAAAGAATCGGATTCTTTTAGAAATGATGTATTCCATTCCACCACGCAAAACAAACTATTTTTCATACCATTTCATTCGCATTCATTTCGTGATTCCGTCGTACAAAACAATTTTTAGTAGAAACGAAAGAACAAAATAAATGACGTCGAATTTTTAAAAAAGTTCGGATATCCAAATTTCCCTCGTTTTTTCGATTAATTCTTTATGCATGAAGTCAAAAAGAAACACTCGTATGTAGTTTACCAGATTAAGTCATGTCCTTATTAAGTCCATTGAGTTCCAAAAATATAAAATGAGAAAAAACAGGGAGAAGTCATCTAAGTTATCTGAGGTGCTGTATCTTTATGACTGAAGGCAACATGATTTAATCTGGTAAGCTGTATATGAGTTTTTTTTTTTTTTTTTTTTTTTTTACTTAATAGGGTAAAGAGGCTCAAAAGTTCACAGCCAGAAAAGATGTGGAAAATGGGAATGTATGTTACAAAAAGGATAGAGTTGAAACTGTAGAACATCAGAAACAAGCTATGTTCATCTAAATCAAGTAAAAAAGAGAGGTGATTCTCCTAAAAAAAGATTGTGTAGATGTGCACATTGGAAAACATTTGAGCGTGTTTAGATTTTCAACTAATTGATCATTAAAACCGAATTATTAGACAGCAAGATAACTATATGTCTATATCACAAAATAATGAAGAGCCCAATTGACAAAACAACCAAGAAACAGTTCACTATGTAAAAAGCGATTACCATAAATGGATAGCAGGAATGAAGTAGAGAATTATGTGGCTAGAAAAAAGAGGACATAATTACTTACCTGTAAACAATTTGAAAGCTGTAGGTACACTTCTTCTCTGTGTGATCCAAAAAACATCAGTTTTTTCCGTCATATACAAGCCAGGATCAACAATGACAGGTTTTGCTCTTTGGAATCTGGAGAACATACGTTCGTTTAGATTGCTACAATTGAAAGAATCTCACAATTCGAATCAGAGATTTTAAAAAAGATCTTACTCTTTCCATCCAATATTGCTTGTATGATCAATAAAATTAAGATCTCTAGGTAGGGAAGAGAATGTATGAAGCAGATCTGAAATAAAAACGAAAATCGTTAGAGCGGGATTAACAACAGAAGTATGTTGGATTAACTGAAGTGAAAGAGGAAGAGAGAAATTCACCATCTTGAGTGACGAGGGGATAGTCAGAGGCGCTGAGATTTATAAACCAGTCCCAATCGCCACCGTCTCTCAACAAAATCGCCGCCGCGTGAAGCGTATTCGCCACCATAGTCGGGCCGCGATAGGTCACGAGATTAGCTTTCGTGATCATCACCACATTGCCAAATTTCACGAAAACCGGATGGTTCTTCACAAACTCATGCAACTCAAGCCGCTCCTCCGGCGAAGATTCGGCGTCGAGGTGGACGACGTAGCGGTTATTCGGATGGTACAGAGCCAGAAGCGTCCGTCGGAGCATAGCACCGTCATGATTCGAACCGGATATGAGGTAAGCAAAACGAGGCGGATTAGGAACATCGGAGATGCCGATTGGCCGGAGCTTATCTTCAACAAAAACAGAGTTTCCGGCGGTGGCGTAGAAGCCGTAGATACGATTACCGTCAAATGAGGTTAGGGTTAACAAAAACAGTAGAAAGAGAAAAACGGTTGACCCGACAGCTAATGGATAGATCCATTTCCTCTTTATAGTATGTGGATGCTTCAAATGCATGTAAAAACTCCTCAGTTTCTTCATAACTATCTTCAGTTTCACAACAAATCTCTCAGGAGATGGCGGATGCCCTGATCTTGAAAATTTGGGGAAAAACGAAATGAGGAATCAACTGACGACCAGATTTATTTGAAACAAACAAGTATGTATGTCGTTGATTTTCTCTCTCTGTATACAGCGCATCAATGGCGGCGTTAGTGTGGATTTCGAAGCTGCTCAACCAGAAGAGAAGATGGGAGTTTTGAGTTTTTTAGTAGTTGGGTGAGATGAGAGATGAGAGATGAGAGAAAATACAAATTAAAGAGCTTACTCGTATAATGGTGACTGCTTGTTTCTGTTTAAAAAATAATATATTTTATTTTGTCTGTGATTGTTAAAATTAAAATCATGATGTTACAAGTTTTTTTTGTCTTTAAAATAATTATACGATTAGATCATATGTAATAAAAAACAATAAAACACGTTTCAAAATATTTTGTAATAAATAAATAATAAGTTAGTGTGATGTTTGATAAAATTTTGTTACTAAAAATAATTAATAAAAAAATACTTAGATAATGTAAGGTTAGAAAGAAACGTAAATAGACATGCTTGTTTCTACTTAGACGGTGATGTTTTTTTTTTTTTTTTTGTAATGACCCTGAATTAATTATTAAAATTCGAATGATCAAATATCTTTTATCAAAATTAATAGTCGACCATTTAAGATGATAATAATTAAATAAAAAACTACATATTCAAAGACTTAAGTTTTTTTATCATTTAAAAAGTAAAAGTATTAGTTAATGTTACGATGGATATTATACAATTAATTAGAAAAGTAAATTATATAAATGTTCTTTGTGGTTGAAAATTGTATTATTGTATTTTATGTCCAAACTTTTTTTAACCATAAGGTCTATGTCTTTTATTTTTGTTGCTGAGATGAGCATGTGTTATTATTTTATTTTTGAATGGACATCAAACGACTAATTTTCTATAATAAATTATTTTTCAAATTACATCTTTGTTTTTATATTATTATGTTACATATAATTAATATGGCTAAACCCCAAGTCCCCAACCCATTTTAAAGCATCTCCATTGAAATGGTATTAGAGTTGTATAGGAGGTGAAGTTAAAGTTGTATGAAATAGAAGATTATGAACCAGAATGGTATTGAAGTTTGGAGTTGTATGTGGATATAACGTTTTATTGGATAAATTGGGCCTCGTTTTTTCTTTTTTTTAGTTTTCATTTTGATAAATAATGAACTTGATTGACATAGAATAAACAAAAGTTATTAATATACAAATTAAACAAAATTGATTAATATATAAAATAAAGGGATGTTAACTAAACTAATTATATTTTAAACTAATAATAATATTAAAGAACATAACCAAAAAGTATGTTCTCTTAAAAAATATCAACAAATCCAAAATCAGTCATTCCATCATAAAAAATATATTTTCCGACAAAATACAGATTTTGGATTCTTGATCGAAATTTCAAATTTCACAAAAAAATATAAAACAAAATAAAATAAAATAAATAATAATAATAATAATAATAAAATTCCAGCTTTTCAAGAAGTGCATACAATACAATGGCTAAAAAGCAAACATGACATTGAAAAATAATGATACTAGACATTTTGAAATTGCTATTTCAGACATAAATAGAGATACGGTTTTTTGAGGAAAAAATTATATAAATGAAAAACATCGAAATTTCCCGAATTGAGAATTACGAAACTAAAAATAATAATTATTTTGTTACTAGGCTCCTTTATAAGGGTTATTATAATTAATAAAATAAGTAAAGTTTTAATTTATGTATGAAAAAACAGTAATCTTTAATTAATATTAACAATTAATAGCAATAATAATTTAAAAATAGTCAATAAATAATACATAAATAACAATCTAATAAATTGATGAAATATAACACTAAACAAAAATAACATAAAAATACAATTAGAATGTCTTTGTTCTTGATTTACAATTGATGAATGGAGTGTTTTGATTTTGTTTAGTAGGTAACATCGAGATGTTGAGGTATTTACAATTGATGAATGGGGTGTTTTAATTTTGTCTAGTAGGTAACATCCAGATGTTGATGTATTTTCAATTGTAACCCTACGCATGATTAAATATTGCATTTTGGTCCCTAAATATAAGAAAGAATACAAAAATGGCCTATAGTGGCATCTGGTAATTCGGGCATTAGCATAGTACGTTGGCCGTAAATTGTGTACGCTTAGCATACTAGGGTGGACCTTAGTATACGCTGGGCGTACGTGGAGAAACTCCAAACCCTAATTTTTAAGGATTGGTCCATATAGAAACATCATTATAGCCTCATTTATCATTCTCTCATCAGCCCTCATCTGAGATTTTAACCCTCTATCAAACCCTAAGTGAAAAGAGTATTTTGAGCTAATTTTTATGCCTTTTGATGTTCTTGAAGAAGGAGAAGTTGGTGCAAGAACCTTGAAGCTTGGAAGCAACTTAGATCTGGGATTCCATACTTGCTAGCAACATCTTGAAGCTAAAAAGTTAACAACTTGATCACTCTATCTTGTAGATCTAGCCATTTCTTCCTTTAGGGCACTTTTTGGTCCCAAATATGGGGATTCTTGAGCATGACATGTTCTTGATCAAATAAGTCATCTTTTCAGTCCTTATGGGGGGTCTTAAGTCATTAAAATGTGGTCTTTATGGTTAGTTTTACTCCATGCATGCTATAGAAGGTCTTGATGCATTAAGATGTTGAGATTTTGTGTTTTAAGCACTTAATGGGCATGCAGAGTCATAAGTTGGAAACTTTTATGGCTCATGATGGTATTTTAGCATTGGATTTATAATTAGACGTGTTAAGTAAAAAAAATAATAAGTGTTTAATAGGCTAAGAGGAGGGTTATTGCGTACGTTGGGCGTAAGTAGGGTACGTTGCGCATACGTAGATCTGGCCCTGATGCCTCAAACAAGATTGTACGCCCCGTGTAACTCCAGAGTACGCCCCGCATACAAAGCCTTGGCTAAATTGGCTATGTTGACTCGGTTAAGTTTTGACCAAGCGTATTTATAGGGAAATGTTATTAATTTAGAATGGTAATGTTTTGACATTTAGGATTTGGGTTGAGCCGTTATTTGGGAGCACAGTATTGATCAGATATTCGTCATATTGTGAGGTAAGTTTTTCTCACTATACTTATGGATCGAAGTGTAACGCTTGTGTTTCTGGGCTTTTCATTAATGTTGATATAATAGTATAGGTTAACCTTTGTAACCCGTTTTGAAATAATAGAAGTGTATTATTTGAGTATTATGTGTTTTGTGTTTAACTGTGTGACTTAATTGAATTAAGAATAAAAATAAGCGTCAAAATGAAATGTTATATAAGCTCGATATCTATATATAATGTTGTAGTAGTTGAAATGAGGTTTCTGAATATATAAAGAATGCCGAAATCCGAGTTATAACGAAGAAGTTATGGCCTGTCGAAGTTTCGCGACAGAACCGGCAACGCTGAATGACGTAAAAAGTGAAATTTATGTTAGAGCGATATCTAGCCTTAGTGATCTAAACGAAAGTCGTAGGGTTCGTTAAACCGAGAGCGTGCATAAAAAGAACGCCCAAATCTGACTTCGTATGAGGAAGTTATGATTTTCCGAAGTTTCGACTTAGCAGTATGCAGCCCGAATCCTCGATTTGAGATCGAGTGACTTTTAGCCGAAACAATCTAAATGAGAATCGAAGATCTCATCGATAGTAGTGAAACGATAAAAAGACAGACGAAAACGGAGTTCAGATAAAGGAGTTATGAATTTCAAATGGAGTTTACCTGTCCCGGCCTACTAAAAATGACATATTGATAATATATTAAAATTAAAGTCAAAATTAGTCAATGGAGTCTAAGCGAGAGTTGTAGAGCATAATCTCACCTACACGTGCATATAAAGAACGTCGAAAACAAAGCTTGTATGAGAAATATATAAATTTCTGAAGTTCAAGGCACGAAAACCGAGCCTGTGTCAGGACTCACGACGTGAGACGGTGCTCACGATGTGAGCAGGCCGATTTGACCTTTCAAAGCTGCAGACACAAGTGGACAAATGATGAACGCGGTGACCTATCGGGCTCACGACGTGAGCTTTAGAAACTCACGACGTGAGGAACGAAAATGAGCCCTATAAATAGAATTCAAGGGGCAGCCGATTTTGGTTGCTCCATCTCTTCTCTCCTACTCCCGATACTCTCTCTAATCCCTTATTTAACCCCCCGAAGCCCCGGTATCATCCCGAGACCCGAAGTGAGTCCCGAAGCCTGAAGATACCGAGAAGAAAAGAGTTTCTGAGCCGAAGCTCTGCCTGCGAGAAGCCCGGTGTGTGAAGATCTTCCAGATGTACTGAAGAATACTACTTTCTGCAAGCCGTAGTGTTGTCCGATCATCTTCTGATCAAGTGAGTGTGTATTTACTTTCTTCTAAAGCATAATTATGAAGTATTTATATAAAATACGTGTTATGTGTATATTTTGTTGTTATATGTGGGAATGTATATTCAACATCTTCTATCTCATAGATCTGATTTATTCTCTATGAAATACGTGTTATGTGTGTGTGCCTCATCTGTTATGTGGAATATGTACTAATTGAACATGGTATACAGGTTTTAAACTATGTATAAAAATATATATATTTTTATCTATTAATATGTTGTGTAGAACATGGGTAGATAGTTGATGAGTGATAAAAAGATGAGAGACCTCGATGTCGTTGTTGTTGATTTAGTTATTCAGCGGAGTATGGATAACGACCACGGAATCTTTCTAGACATTCTAGTGGAACGCTAGCAGGTTTATAACCTGTAGGTGTTGTGAATGATGTGCTCACCGGTGTACTCTATCGCCCTCATGGTTGTCTCTAAGACATCTAATGTTGAGGAAACCCCTTGCAGTAATGTCCGTCCCGATGAAAATCCTAGATTAGGTCCCTTGTCATAGATGTTGTTTTAGGGACGTAAAGTGAGGATAACGAGA